TCTCATGGTAAAACACCAGCTTGCAGTATTCAAGGACATTGGGCGGGAAATGGCCAGAGCTCTTCCTTCAAAGTCTGACAACGCTGAGGCACCCCTTACTCTTCAGATTTCACCATCCACATTACACTAAAAAAACCGCACCTTTCTTGTATGTGTTTTGTATGGCTCAAATGAAATTGGGATCCCAAAAGAATGGGGTGTCTGATGCTGCTGTAGTCTGGGGAATTAAGTTTTATGACAGCCTTCCTTGAAAACTAAATTTAGGTTCTGTTGCTGGCCCCTCCAGAACAGAGGCAGAGCAGGACAGTTAAAGCATACCAGCTTGAGAACCTCTCATGCCCTTGAAAATAGTGAAAGATCTGTGCCGGGGTTGAAAGCAAAACTAAATTGGGCCTCTATTCAATAAAAAGTTCTTATTCTTAAATAAACATGTTGTTAGGTCCCAACAGAGAATATGTCTAATCAGCATGAATTTAAAAGTTGCCTTTTCCTTTACAAATGTGCTTAACAACCTCCCAGTCTCTGGGCTTCACTTTGAACTGGTCTGCCTCCCAGAAGCCAGCAGTTTGAACTGGGAGGTCCTGGTCATGCTGCCTGATGAACATGCAGTGAAGATATAAGGATACAATAAATAGGTGATCATCTTTGCTGCCTGCATGCAGAAGTAAAGGCATGGTGCCAAGCAAATATGCGCATTAGATGACTAACAGCTCCCACACTGCCAGTGTAGGCAGGGAATATGCAATGCAGCCACATATGTGTCTCAGAACCATGCCAGGTGCTTTTTATTCTTAATGTTTGGTTTTGTTTTTAAATAGGAGTTCAGATCTTTGAGCAGGATGTTTATGCATAGAAAACAATTGGTCATAGCTTTTAATATATGATCAAGTTTTTTGAACTACCAGCTGATATATCTGTTGTGAGTGACATCAGAATTTCAAGTAAGTGCTATTAATGCTCTCTAGGATGGCTGTGCATATCATGTTTAATTTTCTGAGTTTACCTTTATTTAAGAAAGAGTGGCTAGAAAATAGCTTTTTAAGGAAAGTGAGATTTTTTTTTTTGTAGTGGGAATATTGTAATGAAGTTTTGTATTTAATATTGGGTTTCTATTTAATTTTTTTTCATATTTTTGCCTTTATTAAATTTTGATCACTCTTTTTTGGGTAAAATTGGTGGGAGGTGTTCACAAAAATTATCATGCTGTAACAAAGGAGTTGAATCTCATTTGGTACTTGTTTAGCCTTACTTTTACAGTGTACATGTGGATGTACAATGAGCTGAATCCCTAGCAAAGTCCTGTAAATCTCTGTAAGCAGGGAGCAGTTCACCTTAACATTTAATCTAGCAGTGAGCTTCCTCTGAAGAGGTCCCCTTTTCTTTTCCCCAGTGATGGCTAATCCACACCTCACCCAATTAAGTCATTTTCTGTCAGTTCTGTAAGCTGAAGCAGCCTTGTTGCTGCACAGATAGCTAAGACGGGGATAGGATGCAGTAGAGGAACTTGAACAGGATGAAACAAACCCCTTTCTTTCTGTAGCAGTGAAAGGTCAGATCATGCTAAACACAAAGTGAGACTCAGATGTTGATGGTTTGGATGGTAGACTCGTACAAATTCTTCCAGAAATATAAGGGACCCTCTGAGCTATGAACTATAAAACCACAGAATAGTAGGCAGTATCTTGAGCTGAATCTGAAAAAAAATGGAGAAACAGTGATTTGAGAGTCTGTCTTTGGTTTCCTGAGATCGAGATGTGGCCTCACAACCAGATGATTCAATGTTCAATGAACAAACCTCTCTTGTTCGCAGAGCTAGAATTTCTTCAAGTTTATTATGCTTTTTACTGACATAAGCATAGAGCATTGTGGAAAGCAGACTTTCAGAGTACAGGTAGAGAAGAGCTGAAGTCCTCAGATGTTTTCCAGGACAAGCTCTCATTAGCAGGGGCAGAATTCGTCATTTGGCACTGAGTAACTTACCTGATGACAAACTAATTTTTGAGTTTAAGAAGGAATAAAGCCCTATTTCCCTTACAGAGCTATTCAGTAGCCTGTTTTATATGGATTGGTCTCTATTTACTCTATTGTAAACACCTATTTCTTCATTCTTGATCACTGAGTTAGCATCCAGATCCCTCATCCCTATTATGTTGGTTTTGCCAGTAAAAATTACTCTTATATGGACTAGCAGTTAGAAAGGGTTGTGTGACAGGGATGGCAGTCCTCAGATAGTCTACATTATATAAGCTGTGCTTTCCACCCAGGTGGTTAATTAAACTTGGTCTTCAGATCCCAAGACAGAAACCACTTATGTGCACACTTCATTTTAATAATGTGTTTCTGTTCCTCTGCCCCAAGAGTTTTAGCCCTATCTTCTGGTTTGTCCATTGTCAAGAGGGAGAAAAGGGAACGTAAGGACAAAAGGAGAGTGTGGTGCTCTGTGTAGTCTCATTTTGGGCAAATAGTCTTGTTTGGGGGTTGTAGATTGAATGAGGGAACATCTTACAACATTGCTACAGATTGTCTGAATGATGTGTCCTTTGGAATAGATGCTATATCCTTCCCAGAAGAGGGAAAAAATGAAAGTAGCATTGAACCATTATATCATTTTGTGTTCCATCCTCTTCAATTGCATTACTGTTCTGTGATAATGCTCCTGAAATTTAACCTGTCTTGTTACCCTGTCAGTGCCAGGATAAGTATACAGATAATTGTGTGTACACTTTTTACTTGCATTTGGGCAGACCATGTCATTGTTTTCAGCAAAAATGAACTTGATAGCTTAAAAACTTGGGATTTTCCTCATGCATAACACAAGATAAAGTCACTCTTGGTTCCATGTAGTCTTAATGTGCTTCTGGGTATTTGCTACCAGAAATTTGGTAATTGCTTCAGTCCTCTATGACACATCCTCTAGGGGTTTCACACAGCTCAAAATTAGGTGTATGAAAGGCAAAATCTGCTCTTAACTTGGAGCCTGATTTTGCTGGCACTTTTGCACATGACTGAGTGTTCCCTGTGACTGGTTTTAGCTGCCTGTGTCAGAATAACAAAGGACACACCAGAGTTTCAAAAGGAAGGTCATGCAGTTGTATTGCCTTTATTGTTTAATGTGAGTTGCTTTCTGTAAAACTACTTGGCCTTGCCTGTAGTCAAAGGCAGATTGAATTATTATTCATCAGTGTACAGTAGGTGTAAAATGCTGCCAGATCTCAGCATTGTTTTCACATGAGTTTTGCACGATAATAACTGCAAGGTGTAAGTTAAGTGAGAATAAGCCTTAATGCATTTTCAGAGGCAGGAGTGATTCCTGCTTTGCTTTAGTGGTATTTTCCTTTGATCATTCCCATGCTGTCGGAGAGACATAAAGATGGGGCATATTAGGCAATAGATGGGTATTTCTTTCACCTGTGTAAAACTACACCTGTCCCTAAATTACATGATGGGGAATGAGGAAGCAGAGGAGGAATGCTTGCGTTTGGAGGCAGTGTAAAGAACAGAATTAACTGTGGAGTCTGGCAAGGCACCTGCACTGAATGCAGAATACAACAGTAGAATATAGTTTAAGAAGAGGCAACTCTTTCTTTGTAGAAGAGTATAGAACTTCAACATTAATTCTTATTCGTTTGGCATCTCTGAAAATGTGATACTAAGTTCTTTGTACTGTGTAAAGAAAACAGTTTTATACCAGTATTTCAATATTGTGATGAACTGCAGGCATTAAGAGAGGTCAAAGAAAGCATTTGGGGCTACTGTCATTGTAAACAGATTTATACTAAAAACTAGGTGTGATTGGGTTACCTTGTGTCAGCTGAACCACAGTAACTAAATGTAAACATTCTTATTCTACTTTTTCCAGAAGCAAAAACCACTTCTAGCTCGAATTTTAGCTTTTGTCTTCTGCTTGCATTGGACTGAGTGCATGCGGAGTTAATTACATTTCCACTTAGCAGAAGTAATAACCTTTGCTTGCTGGGGCAGCCTGTTCAGATACCAGAGCCCTTTGTGTCAAGACAAGAAGTGCTGTATAGAGAGGTATAACATCCTTTGTTAGATCACTTGGTGCAGTTTAGGGATGTTTGGCCTTCAGCATTGAGCCAAAAGACATGAAGTCCCTTGCAAAATCCAGTTACTCCTTGATCCTGAACCTCATGACAGTTCTGCTGGAGGTACATGAGTGCATTGCAAAGCCTGTTTCTCAGGAGTTGTTGCACACAACTGGCAGTTAAGTCATTGGCAAGGTGGAGGGGCAGTGGGAGTGCTGATGGTAGACTCAGAACTGTCCACAACATCTCTTTATAGTGCCTTTAAGTTGCTTTGAGTAGCACCTGCTCTGTAAAAGAAGATTGACTTCCTTTGGGACTCTCCTGTAAGATATTTTTTCTGGTTTGAGTCTGGATGGAAGAAATCACATCAGAAAACTAACTTAATAAAAACATCTAGCTGAAAATAATTGGTTGTCATATTTTCCTGGGAAGGAGGGAGAGGTATTTCTAAGTGGCTGTAAAAGTATAAATACCATCTGTATGACATAGTCTTATTTTTTTCTGGGTTTAGGAAGAACTTTTGGATTATGTTTGGAGATGCACTGTCTACACAGACAATATTTCTTATTCTTGCACTTAAATACTATGTTTGTGTTGCTACAAGTGAAAGAGACAGCATGTATCCAGCCAGTTTCATCCCTTCATAATCCTTTGTCCTGAGTAGCAGAGGATTGCTTAGTGATAAGATGTGCTATATTGCATCAGGTGATTTTTGAGAGGTGCCTCACACATTGCTTTGCTGTTTTGCTTTTACTTAGATGCTGTCTTCTTGTATACTGGCATCTTCTAAGAATGTGACTTACTTTTAAATACGTTCTTCTTTAACATACAAATGTGCTGCTATATATGCTGTAATCACCTCATGTCCCAGTGTCAGAGGTAAAGTCTGCATATCTAAATAATCTTGGATTTACTAGCCTGTGTTAAAGCTTAGATTTTTCCCTTATTTTTCAGGATTCTAGTGCATGAAGGACGTAAATGATGATAGTCCCAGAGGACCATCTGTCCTGGAGCAGGCATTGGAACGAAGTTACTATGTGAGTGAAAGGAGTGAGTGCAAGTCAGATGGTAAGTAAGACAGGGAAGAGGAGATATATCATGCTGTCATTTCAGTACAGATGAAAAACACCACCATACACTCTTCAAAACTTATTCTAATTTTCAGGTTTTAAGTGTTTTGCAAAGCCCAGTTAGCACGGAAGGTACTTTTTGCTAGATTTTTTCGTGATGGAGTATGTCTTTTAACCTAGCTGTGGTTCTTGCATCATTCAGAGTCCATTTTACCTCCATTGCCTACTTGATGTCTGTGCAATTCTTTCTAGCTTGGATTTCTAGGGAAGCCTTAAGGATTGAGCCTTTGTCTCTTAAGAGCTCCTTAGGAAGTCCTTTTAAATCTAGTCCATAGCTGTCTCAAACAGTTTTTTTCTTTTTAATCTATTTGTGGTAAATAGTAAGCAAATTAATTTTGCTTAATCATCAAGGAAGTGGGTATTTTCAAGCCATTCTGGACTTGTTTAGAAACATATTCTGTCCCTTACAGGAAGTGTCTCCTGTGTGCATAGTGAGGGCTCTTAGAGCAACTAGGGATTTTATTTATTTATTTATTTATTTATTATTATTTTTTTCCCCTCCTGGTTTCTAGGGGACTTCTTCACCTTGTGTCTTTGCATAGGCTTTGACACTGCCCTTCTCTTGTCTTGAGGCCAAAATACCCACTGTTCATGCACAGAGCCTGCAGGCTGTTCATCGAAAAGATCTTTAATCCAGCAGTGATTAGAGGCTTACACTTTATATGTGGGCAATACAAAGGGAAGTTTTTCAAGCAGTTTTGTTTTTATTGCAGAATAAGGCGTGGGTAGTTCTGCCTTGCAGAAAAGCTTAGCCTGGAAAAACCTGGTGTGGGAGGGGAGAAAGAAAAGATCGACAGTCATTTATCACGTGACAAAGTGAACAGTTCCAAGAAAGAAACTGTGCTAAAACTTCCCAACTGAATGTGAGCTGAAGGTCATGCACTTGCATTCATGTTAATTTGACAGAGCCAGCATGGAAGCATTGCTAAAGTACCATAAGGAATTCTGTGTCTGTAGGCTACCCCTGGCAAGTGTGCTTGCTGAAAAGTGCCCTGGAAAGGTTTCAGTCTGAGGGGGCTGAACAGACTGCTTTTGGCACAAGAGGCAAAGGCACTTAGAAAGTATCAGTGATGCTAATTTCAGGAAATGCCCAGGTGTATAAAATTCAAATCCATGTCTTTAATCTGATGGAAGATGCTCCAATAATTGTTTGAAATAGAAGCCATTCTCCAGACATTGTCATAGGACTGTAGACTGGCCCTTGTTTCAAATTTGGCAAAAAGAAGGGTATCATTCTGTTCAGCTGTCAGAAACACAATAGTAAGCTTCAGTATTGTACAAAATGTCATGTAGAATGTGGCCAAAGGTCTTCAATGTTGTATTGCTTAAGTTGAGTAATTGATTATATTCATACAAAGAAAATACTGCTTTCATTGCAGGGCATAGGAGCTAATAAAAAACTTCTAAGGCATGGGTTGATTAGAGTAGGTTGGAGGACAAATTAAAATTCTGAAAGATTCCTTTGAAAACTATTAGGATATGTTTATGCTGCCAGTTAATACAGATGGTAAAACTATAAAATTATGGACTAGATTGAAAAATGGTAATTTTCAATAACCAGCAGTCTATTTATTTCACAGAACTGCCTCATATTCACATACGTCCAGCACAGTACCTGAAGCAAAAAACAGAGAGAATTAAATGAAACTGGGTGGTGTTTCTGGAGGCTTGAAAAGTTTTGCTGTAGCTGCACGACAGAGCCACAAGCTGCTCTTGTGCAGGTGGGAAACAGGATGCAGATAAAAGAGGTCACATGGGTCTGTGGGGATGAGCAAAATTACCATGCTATTTTTGAAGGAGTGTGCACTTGGGTTGACAGTTTGAAGTTGAAGCCTTTCAGTCAAATCTTTATAAAAGCAAGTTTATTCTGCAGTGTGGACACAAAACACTAGAGAAAATTAAACCAAGTAAAATCTCAGTTCATCTCTTAATGGCATTTAAGAATCAGAGAGATGATGAGGATGGGGCAGTTTGCAGTGCCAAGGTACACTATCTACAGGTATCTATCAGGGACCCTGATTTCAATAAAGAGTTAAATTAAAAATCAGTCCATTCTTTTTGATAACCATCTCTTTGGTAAACTGTCATGTGCCAGTTTTAATTCTACGATCCTTATTGATTTAGAGCAGTTTTAATACAGTCTCTTTCAGTATTATCATATCTTTATTAAGGGCTGGATAAGTTCTTAGTTTTTGGGGTTTTTTTCTGTTCTTACACTTATCCTTTCTCAAACTAGACAGGTGGTGAGTTGACTTGGTGCTCTTCATTCTCCTTCTATGCTGCACATAAAATTGTTATCTTGCTTCACACTAAGTAAAGGTAATTGGTAGACTGGCATTTGTAATTTAGAGACTTGACCCTGTTGATGGTGTCCCCTGATACATGTTTACTCCTCTGCCAGCCCCATTAGCCCAGCACAGAAGTCACAATATGAAGGATACTTTATTGTTGAATACCCAGGGTATTAGTTTGTTGTTCACACTGGGATTTCACATGGCATTTAAGGGAACTGATTATTTGCTTTCCAAGAAGGTCCAGTGAAAGTTGGAATTTTTGGATACCTTTCAGGCATACTTCATGAAAAGACAACAGAATCATTTGCTGATATGTTCCTAGGTTTCAGTCTTCAAACCTTAATACAAGAATATCACTTAAAAAGTTTAATGATGTATGGAGAATGATGAGCATATACTGACAGAACATTGGAGCGTACTTAAGTGGTAAGATCCAGGACCTCTAGCAGGCAGGCAGGTATATTTCAAAGATAGATCACAGAGTTTGGGGTTTTTAAAACAGTTTCTTTCAGTCCCTAAGGGGATTGGCATCCTAAGCCCAAGGTAAAAGTACATTCTACTGTGTCTCCACTGCTACACAGGCAGCAAAAGAGTATCTCTGGGCTGTCACTCCCCTCCAAGGATTATTCAGGGCTATTTTGTCAGTCTTCCTTTCATCATTCATATTAGGATAATTGTCGCCTTGTTGCTAATGCCTCTGTGTGTAGGTACTACCTTTTGAACTTGTTCTTTGGCAATGGAGACTGTCACAGAACATAAATTTGACCAGGTGCTCTTTGTTAGAGTGAGGTCTGGGTGGCATCAACTTTTTATTCTTGTTTTCCTGTATTCTGGTGAAGGAAATACGGGTCTATGGACCTGAGGAGAGCAACAGCAAACTCCAATCACTGCCCTGCTCCAGATGGTCACAGGGTGAAGGATTGTGGCTGTAGTTTGTTCCTGCAGTGCAGTCAGATGTAGATGTGGCAGCCTGTGCATCATGACAGGAAAGAAGTGGGGCATGGAGGAATATTCCCTGAAGTTGCATTGCTTGCCTTGGCACGTCTACCTGTAAGGCCATGTTCCACCCCTGTGAGAGCTGACAGAACTGAAGTGCTAATCCCTGTACCTCTTTCTCGTGTGGGACTTTCTCAGCTTTTGTGCTGGTGCAAATATCATAAACGTCAATTGCAGTGTAAGATTTGGAATGCTAGGCTGTGCACACACTGCCCAGTTTGTAGTATTTGATATTCTCACAACTGTACCTGGATTTTCTTAATTGTTAGTGACAACACATATGTGCTGTATTCACAGACACAATTAGAGAAAGCAAAAGCACATGATAGGCAGCAGTTTGAAAACCGTGTCAGTCTCAGTTTCAAAAACAACTGTGTGGTATTGTCTCACTGTCAGTGTGAAATTTAATCCATATTTTAAAGCTCCTTTTTGAAAATGCAACTTAGGCCCTTCTTTTGAAGAACAGTTAAAATTGTTTCTGCAGAACTAGAGCTCTATCTAGGGGCACTGGAGCTTTTGAAAATTTTCCTAGGCCTTTTCAGAATCTGGCCTCTTGATGTCCTAAGCCTGTTAGGCATGAGATATCCACAATCATGTTTCCCACTAAAAAGTAATCAAAATCAATGCCTGATTTCTGTGGTTTTACGTCTGAAAATTTTCAGTAAGAGCTCACAGTTGTAATTGGGAAATGAAAATCACCAAAAAGTTTAACTAGATTTTTTTTTTCTGTTTCAGAGTTTAGAGCAAGATACTTCAGAGGAGAGGGAGGGAAGACTCTCTGTCTTAATTTTGAGGTTATTTAATACCCAAGAAGAGGGAAGTTTTCAGTATGCTATATTTCTTGCATATGCTACCTTGTTTGATTTGAGCTACTGCCAGATGCTGTTTTTAGTCTCTGCTCAGTCCTTTTGTCAGGCTTTTCACACTCCTCCTCCTCCTGTGGGCTTCTCTTCTATGGCCTTGTATTTATTTTCCTTCTTTCATTTCTTATCAGATATTCTCTTTTCCATTATTCCCAAACATACACCTTCTTTTGCCATCTGTATTTTATCTTCTTTCTCTGCTTGTTGCTGCTAGTCCATTGTCTAGCTTAACTGATAAAAGTGGATTTATAGACCCAGTTTAATGTCATAGAACACACATTTTGTAAGTCAAAAATACTGAAGAGCCTTTTTCAGGGATGTGAGATCCAAAACAGTGCAATATTTTGAATTGCACATGTTGTTACATACTAAATTATATTTATGCCTCATGGGTGCTGGTTTGGTTTGGTGGACTAATTGATTAATTAATGGACAAACTAATATCATAACTGAAACAAGCTGAAAATCAGCTAGTAAAACAATCAGTGATTTTTGAGAACACAACCTTGCTGATGTGCCACATGGTCTGTGTGCAACAGTTTTATAAACTTATTTTTCAAGCTTATCCTTCAGCAATAGGGACTGTTAGCGAAGATAAATTTGACACCCTTTGGAAGACTAATGTTGTCACCATATCTCAAACCTCTAATGTTTCTGGAAATTGTGGTTTCTTGACCTCTGCCTTAGTTTGCTGACTGAGGTTTCGTGCTTTCCTTGTGCCTGCTGGTGACATCACCATGGGGAAGTGCAAGAAACCTCAACAAACAAAGTACTTCAATAAGGAT